TATTCTTTCACACTCAGTAACTTCTTGTGTCTTAGTGATATGTCCTGGAAAGGGATATATTTGTTTGAAGTAGCAAAGTGGTTGTTGACTACTGTAACCGGGTAGGACAATCTAGCAGGTAACCGTAATGGACTGGTCCTTGTTGTAGCGGTCGGCAATAGGTGAAGACAATAGGCGTCATCCATGTACCTCCACATCAGTCTGTATTTTAGGCTGACGCCAGCTAATCATATTACTTTGAGGGGGGGGAACCCAGATGTATGCATATTCATTACATTACTTAGTGGCTTTATTGCCTTGATTGGGGTGAAATGTTTAAAAAAAAAACAAAAAACTTGCCAGGTTTCATCATAAAAACAAACTAAGGGTAATATAAATTTTTATTTACAAATAAATCCAAAAGTTATCCACTAGAGAAACATATTTCATTAACATATTATCCCATTCACCTCAATAAATTATTACTTTATTGGTTTACATCTTAATTTGAGTTCCTTGACATTCTAGAATCTTCACAAATCTTTCATTTATTGATTTTAGTGGCTTTTCTAATGTTTCAACCTTGACATTACTCGCAGCAGATTTTATTTTTCCCTACAGATCTTTGCTTGAATATTGTCTCCCAATCACAGAGACATCTCTTTTAATGACAGACCACAATTATTTTCTTGGATCAAATTCTAGAAAGACTGAGGGTCAGTCAACTGATTCAGTGTTTTTGGAACTATTTTTGTACCATTCCAAAAATATCTTGTCCAAGAACTTACAATAATTCTCTGCATTTATTTTGATATCATTGACTCTGAAAGGAAACACACACATTAACATTATATATATATATATATATATATATATATATATATATATATATATAAGTGAACATATATATATATGTAATATATGTAAAAGTCAACACTTAGAGGCGACAAGCTGTTTCATGTTAGACGCAATTGTCAGGCCACAAGTGTTGTTTTTTTTTCTCGGCTATTTATAGATACGGGTCAGTGGTGCATTGTGGGTAGTCTATTTTGGCGCTTATTTTGCCAGAAGTCATTTATTTGTTTGTTTATTTATTTATTTGGGTTAAATTATTTTGCTTGTTTTTATTTAATTTTATTTTTTTATTTTTATTTTTTATTTTTATTTCTTATCTTATATATTTATTTTTATTTTAATCAGTGTTTTAAAACACCAATTAAAATAAATAAATAGCACGACACAGCCTGTCGCCTCTAAGTGTTGACTTCAATGTTCACTTTTATATTTACACACATTCTATCTCTGATATTGAGCAGAGCACTTTATCCCATAAATATAGCACACCTTAAAATTATATTTCTTCATATATATATATATATATATATAGCTGGTCACTTGTATTTGAGGATATCCATCTACTTGGGCAGCTAGCCAATCCCTATTGCAGACACTTGCCCAGGTGCATTTGTGTTTATTCAACAGCCCAACCTGTGATTTATACTGCAACTATGCTGAGCAGACCTTAATTACAATTTCTAGGAAAGAGCGTGTTGTCTAGTGTGATCAACAATTTGAACACAGCCAGGAGGCTCAAGCCCTTGGACACAATGACTTGTGACTTTGCTAGCACAGCTATTGACACCCACCCCCAAGGGTTCTGTCTATCCACTATCACTCACAAGGCTGGAGTCAACTCGTGGTATGGTTTTCAGGAAATTTCAAAGGTGCCACACACTGGGATCAACCCCTCCAGACTGATAACATCAGGAATCTCCTTCCTAACAAATCGACCCCATAGTGAGATTAAAACCCAGGTCTGATGGTTAGAATGCAAACATTCTAACCACTCGGCCATGTGCCCATATATATATATATATATATATATATATATATTATATGAAATGGACAAAGTCCGATAATTATTTTTTAAGACATTTTTTATGATTATACGTTCTTTTTATAGATACAAATATTTAAGTAAATACTCTGTTTTATAATAAGCAGTATTAACAACATTTACTGGCCTGAATGTCCGAGAAATTTTCATGGAAAATATACATCCTCCGACAGGAATCGAACCTGTATTCTATATGGAACTGTCATATAGCCTGATGTGCCTTAACCAATTGGGCCACAGAGGAGTGTTTGGTTAGTAAGGTCGATTTTACTGTTTATAAACATATTTCTCCATGATTTTCTCTCATTCATTCATATCTGCTCAATGCGTATCCAAATGTAAACAAATGACATTTTATAAAAAGAATGTATAAAAAATGTCTTAAAAATAAGTGTCATCTTTGTCTATTTCATAATGTATGACATATATATATATATATATATATATATATATATATATATATATATATATATACATACACACACACACAGAGTGTATCAAGAATATCTTTGCAAACTTTGATTCCTCAAGCCAAAACAAGAACAAAAGTCCACATGAACATATGTCTGCAAATCCTTCATTTTTGAGTTATTAAGTTAAAAGAAAGTTTATGATAGGTGGCGCTGTGTTGACATGTAGACTTAATCCATAGTTTGCAGTGCTACAGATTCTGTCTCAGCAACCTTTGGTCTGAAAACGCAATCTGATATAGCTGTGCAGCTTTGTATCCATTACAATTCACATGGCTGTATATAAAAATCATATCTGCCTGCTCACAATATGAATATCTTGCCATTGTTAAACATAACACTTCTCAGTTTACTCACTACTACATGTATTAAACGTTGAAGAGTGACCAGCAACAAATGTACATGAATGACAGATGTAACCTAGTCTACATGGCAACATAGCACCATCTACCATTAACTTTCTTTAAACTTGAACTTGTTTTGGCATGAGGAACCTGTCCCCAAATTTGAAAAAAAGTATTTTTAATACACCCTGCATATATATATATATATATATATGTATTTCAAACTATATAATTGATGAACAAATAAGATGCTTTCTTAGAAGTCTTAATACTAAACAAATAGTACATAATACTGCTTCAACTAATCCCAAACATATTAATCTCCTATATCGTAGTCAAATGCATACTAATTATAAATAAGATGAAAATATACTAAAAAAATAGTAAATACGAGTATATCTACAACAGATTCTAGCAAAAAAATTAAGTTAATCATATACTACACTAAATCTAGTATATCCAACTCAATTATTTGTAATTATAGTAAATTTAAAACTGAAGTACCTAAAATTTGATAAAACATTAGATTACAGAGAATTTTATCCTAAATTTTTAAGATTACTTGGTAGTTAAAAATTATATAAAAATGGTGCTCATGTTATATTCTGTAAGTAATTTTTACAGATATGTCCCATGTAGAAAAAAATTAGATAAACTTCTGCTTGTCAACACCTTAAATAAACACATACACCAGTTTAAAAAAAAGCATTTCTGCAATATTCTACACTAAAAGTAAGTAATGTGTTTCAAATCAAATTAATTAAACTTTAAATCAGCTAATCTTCCTCAAATAATGTTTCAGAAAAATATATCAGTGATTTTTAACAATTTAAAAAAATACCTTAATACCTGTGGATAAAGGCGTTGGGTAGATACAGTGATAGGACCCCTGGATGTGTGAGTTCAATACCTGGTTAAGGCAGTGGAGAACTTAGAGAGGGGAATTAACAGGAAATAACTGATAACTGACATGCATTAGACATGGCAGGTGGAACTAGAACAGTCTACCCCAGCAAGTGAAATAAAGGGTTCAGTTCAACATTCCAACCACCTGAAGAAGGCCAGAGTGTACAACAGTTGAAACATTGTGATAAATATGGCAACAAAGATGAGGACAATAGTCCAAATAATGTAAATAGTGTACATAATACCTCATCTCAGAAATATAGAAAGATATTAAAAAAAATACTTCCAGTCAATTTAAATTAGTTTTGAAATACAGTGAAGCATTTTGGTTATTGGAAATATTAAATTTAATCTATTAGCTTGAAATTAAAACTAAAACAAAAAGCTTCAAGTAAGATTTTTCATTTTTAAAAACTCATTTTAAACCTTAGGTAGTGCATTTCTTTGGATGTGCCAATATATATATATATATATATATATAGGCATATCTTCATTCAAACACCTTTCATTTAATAATGTGTCTACTTAATTTTATATTGAACCTTTCCAGTTGTCTAAACAGTTTCTCGATGTTAAGATGAAATTCATTAAGGAAGGTGCCTTGGAGAATTAAAATTTGTTCTGACTTGGCATCTTGACTTCAGTCCTTTTCTCACTGCCATAATGTAGCTTCCGTGTGCCTTTTCTATAAATATTTTCATGATAATTGTTCTGATGAACTTTTCTCTATGGTACCAAGACTTTATGGATTTAAGCGCAGTACTAGATTGGTGGGAAGAACTTTGAAATAGATGCAACTGTAAGTTCTATGCTAACAGTTTCTTTTCTCACACTTCTCACTTGTGGCTTATTGCTTCCAGTCAACTTTGATCTTCAAAAGTTTAAATGTAATGACCAATTTGAAATTGCTGAAAGTATTTGGAATGTGTCTTCCATCTGACAACAACTTGAATATAAGGATCTTATTATTCAAGAAATTGATAGTAAGTTAATGTCTCATTAAGCCTAGTTAGTGAAGCAATTTTGCCATTAATCACATTAACATTGCTAATTAATTATTAGTATAAATTGTTTCTTTATGATATATGTATATATATATATATATATATATATATATATATATATATATATTGCTTTTTTCATTTCTATCTTGATCTCTGATGAAGCTTTAATAAAAGTGAAAAATGTTACATTGAGATACATTTCCTACTTGTTCTTTATTTTATCATGAAATGACAAATTTTTAATTAAAACCAAAAAAGTCTTGAGGAAAAAGTATTTCTTTCTCATGCATAAGAAAGTCAATAGAAAATGAAACCTTTTCCTTATGAATTTGCAATAATACTTAAGAATATTTATTCAGAATTGTTTTTAACAAACTGGGTCTAGTTAATCTTTTTCTGTTTAATACAGCTGAAATGATAGGATAGATAGATAGATAGATAGATAGACAAACATAGGTATGAACAGATTGAGATAGAAAAATGAACAGATAGATAGAACAGGGTGAGATGGATAGATAGATGGATAGATAGATAGAAATATATATGAACAGATAGATTGATAGACAAGAATAGACAAGCAGATAGACAATATATGAGTAGATAGATAGATAGATAGATAGATAGATAGATAAAAAGACTGTAAGATAGATAGAACACTAACAGAGTGAGATGAACAGATAGATAGATAGATAGATAGATAGATAGATAGATTCTGATATAGAGTTGTAAAGTGAGAAAGAGAGACAGAGGGAGAGTTATTGAGAGAAGAAAGGAAAGAAAGAGACATTTGGGGAGAGTTATTGAGAGAAGCAAGGAGAGACAGAGAGTGACTGAGGGAAAGTGTTTGAGAGAAGAAAGGAGAGAAAGGCAGACTCATGGAGAGTTATCAAGACAAGTATATAGAAAGTGAAAGTCTTTGTAGTTGTCTATGGATATGTTGTGTTTTAAAGGGAATGTAGGTAGACATTTCTTACAGGTGGGATGCTAGTGAGGGGGTGCTGTTCAGAATGCACAACTGAGGTAGCCACTTGGCAGTTATCTTACTTCCACACCTCATCCAAGAATGGCAGACTTAATATTGATTCCTTTCATGGATTTTATATATTTTTTTGCAAAATTCAAGAAAACCTCATTTAAGATGATGGAGTAGGCTTTGGGGGGCAGTAAAAGTGAGGAAGAAGAGTTTTCTTACATCCTTTTTTTTCTTTTTTTTTCTCATCCACCTGCAATTTTTATTGATTTATTCTCAAATATTAGCTCCCATTCCTGCTGACAGGTGAGGTGCATTTGCCTGAAATACCCAGGTAAAAATCATTTGTTTCTACTTTGATATGTTCATATTGACAGGTATATATATATATATATATATATATATATATACACACACAATATGGAAATATGAGCATGTATTTGATTGTATGTAGTGACATATGATGCACACCTTCTAATATATATATATATATATATATATATATATATATATATATATATATATATATATATATATATAAAAGACATGCATATATATTGATAAATAAGTTTAACCTGTTATATATTTTTCAGAAATTTGCATGTCAGTATCCATTTATATTCAAATTAATTGACACAAAAATGCAAGTTTTAATAAAAATCAGGTTATATATATATATATATATATATATATATATATATATATATATATATATATATATATATATGGAGATTTGCAGAGGATATGTGGATTCCCAAGGAAGAAGACTCCAGAGATTTAGACCAATTCAGAAGTATTTCTTTATTGTGCACCGAAAGTAAGATCTATCACAGTATTTTATCGTGGCACCTGACGAGATTTCTTTTGGTTAATAATTATATCGACACTTCAGTGCAGAAGTGGGGGAATTTCAGGTTTACCTGGATGCCTCGAACATACTGGAGTTGTCATGCAGATATTAAGAGAAAATAAGGGCAACCTCGCTGCATTGTGGCTGGACCCTGCCAATGCATACAGGTGCAGTCTACATAAATTATTAGAAATAGTCCTAAGAAGATATCATATACCCAAGAAGATCAGCCTATTAATCCTGGACTATTATAACAATTTTAAAATGAGAACCTCTTCCAGGTTTATAGTTTCCAATTGGCACAGACTCAAAAGGGGTATTATTACTGGCTGTATGATCTCAGCTACCCTATTTACCCTTGCTATAAATATGTTGGTCGAAGTCGAGGTCCTATGATGAAGACAGGAGTATGTCAGCCACTGATTAGAGCATACATGTATGATCTGACCATTACCACTTCTTTAATCACAGGGAGTAGGTGGATCCTTTGTAGCTTGGGTGAGAATGAGTTTCATGCCTGCAAATTCGAGATCATTAGTTATGAAGAAAGGAAAAGCGACGGATAATTTCAGGTTCTCTATATCGGGAACTACTATCCTGACGTTGACAGAGAGACTCGTGAAGAGCCTGGGTAAAATTTTTAACAGCTCTTTAAAGGACACTTTATCCATCCGAATGACGATCTTCGAACTGGAATTATGGCTTGCCAAGGTGGACAAGTCTGGATTCCAGGCTGTTTCAAGGTGTGGATTTACCAGCACATGGTACTCCCAAGAATTCTCTGGCCTTTGTTTATCTACAATTTCCCAATGATATCAGTGGAGGCTATGGAAAGGAGAATTAACAGCTACCTTCGCAGATGGCTAGGCTGCCGAGAGGTCTGAGTAGTGCCACGCTATATGGCAAATCAAATGCACTTTAACTCCCCTTTAAAGGGTTGGTGGAGGAATTTGTAATCTCTCAAACTAAAGAATTCCTATAGTATAGGGACTTTAAGGACCCAAAAGTGGTGACAACAGGCATAGAGGTCTGCAATCAAAGGAAATAGGGTGCAGGGTGCAAACTGGGTATTGCAGAGGAGCGTTTGAGGCAGAAGGCTCTCATTGGGACAGTGGCATCAGGTTATGCGGGCTTGGGCTTCTTTCCTGGTACCTGAATTAAGAAAGCTAGAGGTAAACAGAGACACAACTAATTCAGGAGGAAGTATGAGCCAACGTTGAGGAAAAAAGAATATGCAAGATGGTGGGTCTAAGCCAGCAGGGTACATGATGGGAGAAATTTTTACAGCAGAAGATAAGTTGGTCAAAGATCTGGCACTCCAACGCCAGTCATATTAAATTTCTTGTGCAATCCGTTTACGATGTACTACTGAGTCCTGCAAACTTGCATACTTGAGGGATGAGTGAGTCACGATCATACCCACTCTGTGCCAGGAAAGGTACACTGAAACATATTCTAAGTGCCTGACCAAGGACACTTGGTGAAGGGAGGTACCAGTGGAGACATGATCAGGTACTTAGTCAAAGTAGTGGCTGCAGCAATTAGTGGTTGAAGGCTATGTGTTTCATCAAGGCTGGTGAAAACTCTACCTTGGTGCATAAATCATCAACCTGCATGCTCTCCTCTGCCCGAGATTGGCAACTAAGGGTAGACCTGGGAAACCAGTTGAATGTACCGGAGCAGATAACAACATCATCCCTGTGCCCGGACTTATTAATCTGGTCAACTGTCTCCAGGCAGGTTATAATGCTTGAACTTATGGTGTCCTGGAAAGAGAATTTGGAAGAAAGCTGGAAAATACCAGGTGCTAGTTGAGAAATGCAGATCTAACAAATGGCAGACTACCTGTCGCTTGATTGAAGTTGGATGCCGTGGTTTTGCAGGAAGATCTGTATGTAGTGCTCTAAGTCGGCTTGGAGTCAGGGGAGTAAAAAAAGAGAAAGGCCATCAGGGTTCTCTCAGAAGCTGCAGGAAAAGCCTCAAAACGGCTATGGATTAAAAGATCTGTCCCATGGAGCTCTACGACAGAGATCGTGGGTGTCGAGGTGCAGTTGGTATAAAAAAAAATGGGAAGGAAAGAAGGAAAGAAAAAGGGAAATGTAAAGGGATAACCACACTCGCTGTTTGAGGGGAGGGTCATTTTCTTTTATGACCTTTTCAACAATGTCGTCTTGAAGTTCCTACTGCTTTTGTTTTGTTCGGGAGGGGAGAGAGGAGGAGTGTGAAAGGAAAGGGAAAGAAAAAATGGATGGTGTTGGAAAAAGAAAGTGGAATATGTTTTTGATCATAATTCCTATGACTAATAAATGTGCTCGAATTTTTCTTTTTTTTTGAAGCAACATTTCATAGGAAAGGAAACTTTTCTGGCCATTACTTACCTGTTATGTGAAACTGTTTGTTGAGAATGTGGGTCTTTTCGTGTAGTGGACCTAAGATGGAAAAAAAAAACAAGCATGCTGTCTATTCTTTTCTTTTTGTATCGTCTTGGCTGAGGAGGAAGTGACGTAGGTCGTTAATGATTGGTCATTTCAAGATCAGCAGTGACAGTTACTTAATGAGTCCATTTGTTAGGTGCTTGGAAGATTTTTGCTTCAGGATCACCTGTCGGAATAAGTACTGTTTCAATAGGGTCTCTTGGGTGAACAAGTATAATGTTGGAAGACACGAAACTTGTCATAATATCACTGATGAGGCGATCCTGTGCACTCGCTGGTATGTTTTCATAACAAATATATATCTCTATCTATAAAAGGTAGGGTGTGTGTGTGTGTGTGTGTGTAACGAATGCACAGCCGCAATTTTTGACAGATTTGCACCAAAATTTACATGCTCAGGCTCCAAGTTAGTGGGAAGGCCAAGATCAACATTGCATTTCCCAACTCCCATCGATAGTGGAAATAATCGATTTTTTCATGCTTCTATGGCAGTTTTCATGTAGTTTGTGGCCCTTTTCTACTGGCCAGAGTGAGAGCCTATAGCTGGCTGCCACGAATAGGCAGGAAGATTCTATTGGCCAGTGTGAGAGCCAACAGCTGACTGACAGGAATGTTAACTAGCATACTAACATGCAAAAAAAATTGATAGCTGCATTCGTCACAAGTGGGAAAAATTTAAATCTGCATGGCACTTTACTCCAATTGGCTCATTCGCTTGCTTAAACTCAATGTTGATTCTGATTCCGCAGAACTGGGTTGGGCGTGAAAAAGTATTTGTTGTTAACATTCTTTTTTCATTCGGTTTTTCCAGTTACAACTTTTTTAAAGCTGATCGTTTTGTGTTCATTTTGTTTAGTTCTTTTTTCGTAACAGATTTAATGTTAAGTATAAAGCTTAGAAAAAATTTGCAGTATAAGATTGGCAAGAAGTAAGTCATGTAGCAACATCAGCACGGCAAAGGGCACTTGTTTAAAGGCAAGGAAGGGCAAAAATATTTTAAGTCAAGTCATAGTGATTGCTGTATGAGTCGTACGATTTTTGAATCAAGCACGGGCAATGCCGGGCCATGCTGCTAGTATATATATATATATATAATTTTAATAAAATTTAAAGTAAGCAACTCCTAAGGGAGTCTGCTACAGAGGCAGAGAGTAGAAAAGTGCTCAATGCCATGTTAAATGCCAGAGCCTGAATATTTCTAAATAAATTCTAGTGAAGAGTGGCCAGCTATAACTAAAAGTTTCATGTTTTTTCACGACTGGATGATTGGGTGAAAACACATGAAATTTTAATTGTGGTCAGCCATGATTCACACGGAACGGAATTTATTTAGAAATAGAACCGATTAAATGAGTCAATGTCTGGACTTCCTCAAGTAATTTTAAGTATGAAAGAATAGAAATATTAAATTACATCTAACTCACTCATGTCTTCTCTCTCCCCCCTCACTTCCTCACTTTATTAATTTACATATGTTTAATACGTTCTGTCAAAAATGTGTAAATTTCTTTTCATTTTTCATTTCAACCTTTGGAAGTAAAGTCTGATGATCCGCAGTCCTTTAAAATGGCTGTGGTGAAATAATTTATTACATGGAACCTTAAAGTGGTCTGTTTTTATTTAAATTATTTGCTCTGGATTTATATTGAGCTCTCTGGATTTTATCCTCCTTGGATCTACCCATATGGATTACCTAGTTTTCATAAACTATATATATATATAAAGAAATATAGTCTTAAGGTATGCTATATTTATGGAATAAAGTGCTCAATATCAGAGATAGAGCATGTAAATATAAAAAGTGAACATAAAAAGTCAACACTTAGTTATATGACAGTCTGTTTCATGACTATTGCATATAGCATGAAACAGACTGTCGCTTTAATGTTGACTTTTATGTATATATATATATATATATATATATATATATATATATATATATATATATATATATATATATATATATATATATATGATGTTCTCTGATTGACTTTATCAAGGCACATAAGATAAGCTTTTCTTTTGTCTTTATTTATATTGCCCTTTTACAGATATATATTTTAGTTATATCTGAAATTTTACAAGTATATAATATGTCTATAAAATTCCCGTTGAAAGTGAAACAATATTAGCTTATAATGAGACAACATATTCTTATAATTTTGTCCATTGGTAGTGGGAGGTTGATTTTTTTAATTTTTAAATGTCTTTGTAAAAATCTTAAGCATTTGGTGACAAGTATATTTTTATGTAAGGCATTGATATCTCAGATAGCCATGTTTTTATTTGTTATAATCTAAGAGGCTCTTAGTCTATTGATAAGATCATCAGAATTTTTTATGTTTGTTGCATATCAGCAGATTAAGACAAATTAATCGACAATTTAAAGTATGGTAAATGTATAAGTGGATTGGAAATCATTTTAGTTGTTATTTAGTAATTTAACTGCATGAATTCTCTGACATGATTTCAGATTTTAAAAAAATGACATATCACTTAAGAGCATAAGCATTCATGGCTCTCCACAGCTTCCTTTTTTTATTATCTGTTAAATGCTATGTTTGTTTAGAGCAATTTCCTGTTGTTTTTTCCACACTTTTGAATAATATTTCTCATTGATTGGTTGACATCTAAGGCTTGAAATCCTATTCTATCCTTCTATTTAACATATAGTTGGGGGCCAGGCAAAATGGATTCATGCCTTTCTCAAGAGTATTAGTATGAAAGCAAACACAACATGCTAAAACTGATCTTGAACCTGGATCACATGTCCTACTTTCACCATTGTTAACCATTCTTTTTCTTCTGTTATATACTATGTCCCTTCAGGACCTAGGTGATCATGGCCCTCCACATCTTCCTGTCCCTTGTAGCTCTTAATAAGTTTTGCCTTTTTGTTATTTCTCCCAAACCCTGTTCTACCATTCATTTACTCAAGCTCATCAAGTATGTTACACACTGCTTTCCTCTGTCCCTCAATCAGTCCTGTGAGTATCAGATTTTCCAAGCCCTCCTTCCTCATTATGTGCCCCAGAAATTTCATGATGTTAAGTCTGAGTTTCCTATTTGTTTCCATTTTCTCTAAAACCTTGTCATTGCTCACATGTCCAGTCCATAAGTATCCTCAGCATCCTCCTGTAGAGCCACATTTCTGTACCTGGACCATACATTTATGACATCTAATAATCTAACTGAATAGGACCACACCACTAAAGTTATTGAATTTAATAATAATAAGTAGATCAGAAATACATTTAGTTGTTAATGAGTAAAGTAAACTCAATGATCTGTGATTTATTAATGATCCCATTACAAAGTCTGTCTCCAAACATAAACAATAATGAACCTAATGATGAGGAAATTAAGAAAGATATTAAAAAAACTAAGGAATACATAGCACTGAAGTTGAACTTTTAAAAAATAGTTTACTTTTTCTCTGAATTTAATAACAATTGTCCTCACTAACATCATTCTTTCACTCTCACTAACTCCTGGCAACTTAGTACCTTTATTGCCTTGCTTGAGGTGAAATGATTAAAAAAGAATTTTTCTATTGATTCACAGTACAGTTTTTTAGATAAACAGTGTTCTTCAAAAGTAATGCCATTTTTTATTTATTAATTTTTATTGAACAAAAATAAATTACAGTAGTTTAAGAAAATTTATAAATATTGTCACATCAAAAACAAAATGATCTGTTATTTACAATTATTTACATTATTTGGACTGTTGTCCTCATCTTCATTGCCATATTCAAAATGTTTTGGCCATTGTACTCTCCGCCCTTTTTCAGGTGATTAGAGCGTACAATGGCCAAAATTTTGTGAATATAGCAATGAAGATGAGGATAACAGTTTGAATAATGTAAATAGTTGTAAGTAATCATAATACCTCATCTCAGAGATATAGACAGATGATCTGTTATGATTAAAAAACTATTTAACATGTTCAAAATGTTTCCCCTCATGTTCAATACAACACTGAACTTGATCAGCAATACTTCTACAAACCATTTGACACATTTCTATGTTAATTTCAGAAAATTTATCAGAAATTGCTTGTTTTAATTCAGTTGTTTTTAGTTTGAGTCTGTAAACAAGACCCAACCAACAAGAAAAAATCTGGTGATGTTAGGTCTGGTGATTGTGATGGCTATTCAATTGTTCCACATCATCCTATCCACCTCAGCTAAAAAAAAATGAGGTGTTATTTTTGCTGCACTTTGTCAATCAGTTATGTGCCATATGTGATACACGCTTAAGTGATCATGTATCTTTCAATACATGACTAATAAGGCAGATTTTTTTTCTGTAGTGGTTTGCCATTTCTTTCTGTGGTAGACCAGTTGCCATCCAAAACTACAGAACCCAATCTGTCCTGCTATTCACCCATAGCTGGCAGGGGAGAAGAGGATTCATACCTTTCCTGAGAGTATTAGCACATAAGTGAATGTAATGGATTTGACTGGAATTCAAACTTGGCTCTCTGATTCCTCAATCTGAGCTGCTATCCATTACTCCACATAGATTAGAAATACATCAAATTGTTACTGAGTAATGTAAACTCTATGAGCTTAGACTTCGGATATCTAATATGCAATCATGGCAACCAAATTATGGAATTTGTTCATTTTTGTATAATAAAAGCACATTTGTAAATTATTGGTGGAAATAATTTTCTATAATTTTCTTCCATTTTTTTTACAGGTAAGTGAAATGGAACAAATGTTTTTTCCAAATTGTCTTTGGAGAACAGAACTCATACTGGAATTAAAACCAGGATTTTAACTGATTCTCAGGTTTGTACCAATTTTTGAAATGTATAAAATGCATAAAGGCAGTTTGAATAAATATGAATATTTAAACTCCATCTTTAATTTTGATGCTTGACTCTCCCCACACCCTAATCACCTGACGGGTGATAATACTTCATTGCTTTTATAAAAGAGAAGACAGATTCTTAAGGACAATAAATAAGTAAATAAAATAATCTATATTAAAAGAAAATAAACTATAAAGAAAAATCTACAGGGCTCAATGTTGATAGAATCAAGAAACCTTTTTGCCAAACTATTATGATGATCACCAGTTGTATGAAGAAGTTTTTGGTAGAACCATGGACCTGAAGCCACATAACCAACCACAACATGACATATTGTGATGACATGGCACCTTTCTCAAAGCTATTCAACTTTAGGACACTGACATATTTGCATCATAAGCATGATTGGCTCAAGGGCAGTAAATATAAGCCCCTGCTGGATACTGAAGTGTGCATAATTTTTCAGCCAGATGATCTAGCCTATCTTAATTAGAAGAGGGAAAAGAAAAGGGAAGTCAGAAAAATTAGAATTCTTATTCATCTGGTAATTTGGGGAAAGAAAGAAAGAAAGCAGATTTATTATAAATCTGTGATGTTTAAGAAAGAAGGAAAGAAAGAAAAACCAAGAAAAAGAGTTAAAAAACAGAGAAAAAGAAAGAGTTTAAAATTATTAACTTAAGCAAAGAGAAGAAATAATGAAAAAGAAAGAGATAAAACTATTTGCTTAGGAAAAGGAAGAGAAACTGAAAAAGATAAAACTATTAGCTTAGGAAAAGGAAAAAAAAGAAAAAGAAAGAGATAAAACTATTAGCTTAGGAAAAGGGAAAAAAAGAAAAAGAAAGAGATAAAACTATTAGCTTAGGAAAAGGGAAAAGAAAGAGATAAAACTATTAGCTTAGGAAAAGGAAAAAAAAAAAAAAAAGAAAGAGATAAAACTATTAGCTTAGGAAAAGGAAAAAAAAGAGATAAAACTATTAGCTTAGGAAAAGGAAAAAGAAAGAGATAAAACTATTAGCTTAGGAAAAGGAAAAAAAGGAAAAAGAAAGAGATAAAACTATTAGCTTAGGAAAAGGAAGAAAAACTGAAAAAGAAAGAGATAAAACTATTAGCTTAGGAAAAGGAAAAAAAAGAAAAAGAAAGAGATAAAACTATTAGCTTAGGAAAAGGAAAAAAAAGAAAAGAAAGAGATAAAACTATTAGCTTAGGAAAAGGGAAAAAGAAAGAGATAAAACTATTAGCTTAGAAAAGGAAAAAAAGAAAAGAAAGAGATAAAACTATTAGCTTAGGAAAAGGGAAAAAGAAAGAGATAAAACTATTAGCTTAGGAAAAGGAAAAAAAGAAAAGAAAGAGATAAAACTATTAGCTTAGGAAAAGGGAAAAAGAAAGAGATAAAACTATTAGCTTAGGAAAAGGAAAAAAAAGAAAAAGAAAGAGATAAAACTATTAGCTTAGGAAAAGGAAAAAAAAGAAAAAGAAAGAGATAAAACTATTAGCTTAGGAAAAGGGAAAAAGAAAGAGATAAAACTATTAGCTTAGGAAAAGGAAAAAAAAAAAAGAAAGAGATAAAACTATTAGCTTAGGAAAAGGGAAAAAGAAAGAGATAAAACTATTAGCTTAGGAAAAGGGAAAAAAGAAAGAGATAAAACTATTAGCTTAGGAAAAGGGAAAAAAGAAAGAGATAAAACTATTAGCTTAGGAAAAGGAAAAAAAAGAAAAAGAAAGAGATAAAACTATTAGCTTAGGAAAAGGGAAAAAAGAAAGAGATAAAACTATTAGCTTAGGAAAAGGAAAAAAAAGAAAAAGAAAGAGATAAAACTATTAGCTTAGGAAAAGGGAAAAAAGAAAGAGATAAAACTATTAGCTTAGGAAAAGGAAAAAAAAGAAAAAGAAAGAGATAAAACTATTAGCTTAGGAAAAGGAAGAAAAACTGAAAAAGAAAAAGTAAGTGAAATATATTAAATGAAGTTGTAAAACTTTGAATATAATGAGTAAAGTATACTCTACCTACATGGGTGATACTTACTGAGAGTTGTAAGCAGTAAATATATAGGAAATGTCACATTTTTCTCACCTTCCTTCTGCCTTGAAATGTACACACTGTTTTGTGTTGGAATGTGAAAAAGAAAACATCTGTGTTTAGTCATCATTTTGATAAAAACATGGTTAGATAAGCTTATTAGGCTTATGGTCATATTATGTTGAAACATTGGTTCCCATATGATCACCAAAGTTAAGCAATGTCAAAGCCTGGTCAGTACCTAGTTGGGTGACCACTTTGGAATACCAGGTGCTATAAGTTTGGAAGTGTGGGTGGTGTAATGGATAATGGCTTGGAATTTTTAAACAGAGAGCTGAATTCCAATTCCAGTTGGGTTTGTTAAATTCATTTATATGCTAATACCATTGGGAAAGGTATGAATCCAGATATTCTCCCACCAGCTATGGGTTAAGTAGTAAGACTTGTATCACTGAATCATTATTATTCCCCCCCTCCAAAGTCTTAAAATCTGAAATTATTTTCTGGCTTTAAATAACCTATAAAGTCTTGATAAGCTGCAGAAATCAACTCAATCATGTATGTGCTTATTTGATTCAATCAATGCCAACATATTACAAGACAGTGTTCCTTACGAATGATCAACACCTAGAAAAACAACTATTATAATTATAATAGAAGTGGATGACTAAGCTTCAGCATCCATCATCATCCTGAAACAGTCTATAATAAGATCTAATCTATCACCATCACATTACATCCTTGCTATATAAAGTGAAACATTACTATATGGGGAAATATGTTCAAAAATGAATTAATCCAGTTAAATACTTTTAAATACATAGTCAAATAAATATCCATCCTGGGTATGATGATAAACTACATCCGCATCCTGGGTAAGACGATAAACTACGTCCAACAGCAAGGCCTCTGATCAGGAGGTTTTGAGGAGTGTGGAACCACCTCTTAATTGCTGGTGTTCCCAGGTCCACCCAGACCCAGGGTGGTAGCAACTGTTAGGGTCCCAGCTATGGGCAAATAGTTAACTCAGACTACATTTGCATCCTGGGTATGACGATAAACTATGTCCATGTCCTGGGTATGATGATAAACTACATTCAACAGCAAGGCCTCTGATAATACGTTTTTGAAAAAATAATATTACCAGCTATACGTTTTTGAGGAAAAATATTAACAGAAATAGATTTTTGACAAAACAAAAATATTACCAGGAAAAAAAAAAGTTGTAGGCATTAAATGACCCACTGAGGTTGATGTGCCATAAAACAAACCAAACCAAATTAATATGAATGATGCACTGAAGGCATTTATGCAGATGACACTACCATTTACTCCTGTCTCAATAGCAAATCCGTCAGAGCTGACAAAGTAAATCTGCAAGCTGCATTTGAAAATGACCTCTAATCAGTGGTTAACTGGGGCAGGAAATGATTTGTAAATTTTAATGCCTTAACAAAACAAAACAGCTCTCATTTAACCACCATAGAGAAACTTTTCCACCTGCCATCAGCATGACTGATGCTAGAATCCTGGAGAGCAACACACTGCGTCTTCTTGGTCTCACATTTTCAACTGACTTGAAGTGGACTGATTACACCAAATCAATAGCTGCATCTACTGCTAGGAAAGTTGAGTCACTGTGTCATGCCAGACAAATTTCTTGTCAGAGTCCATCTTATACATTTACAAATCTATCATTCGACTGCACATTGAATACTGTTGCCATATCTGGTCTGGTGCTCCTGCTATTCATCTCAAGGTTCTTGACAAAATCCAAAGAAGGATCTGCAATGTAATCAATCCTAACCTGGCATCTCAACTTCAGTTACTTTCTCACCAATGTGGTGTGGATTCTCTCTTTCTCACAGATGTGATGTGGCTTCCCTCCGTCTTTTCTACAAATATTTTCATGGCAACTGCTTTTTTTCCCTGGTGCCTCAACTACATTAATTTAAGAGTGCTACTAGATTAGCATCTAGGACCCAACATTTACTATTGAAATAGGTAAATGTAACCACTACTTCTACACCAACAGTTTCTTTTCTTACACTTCCCACCTGTTGAACTCCCTTTCCTTTACTTGCTTTCCTGATAACTACTATATTCAAAAATTTAAATACAACATCAATCACCATCTCCTGTCTGCTTGAATCCCATTCATCTTTTGTCCTTTCCTTAATCCTCCCTATACCCAGTCTTTTCTCTCACTTTCACTCTCTGTAACCTCCTGCGTACTAGCGGAATTCCTGCCTTGCTTGGGGTGAAATGATTAAAAAAAACTTTAACTACAACAGATATAGCAAGTTTTCAGTTACAAAGCATTTTTTTGTATAGTCATGCATTTCTATCAGTGATGAACATGCATGCTGCACTCATAAAAAAAAACATCTGCACCTGCAGTGCTAATCCACTTCATTTATAGCATCTAACCCATGAGCCACTCAAAGTAGAGGGTAACTGAAGGAGGTTGTTGTATGGATGTAAATGGAGAAAGTAAGTGTAAATTATGAGGATAGGTAGGGTAGATAACAGTTGATACTAGTGTTGAAGAGGTTAACATTGCTGGAAAGGTCTGAACTGGTGGAACTAAAGAACAGAGCTCATCTGAACATTTGCCATGGAAATAGCAATAGAGTAGCAAAAGGCTTGCAATGTTGCATCAATGGCTGCGGATTGGGGAATATGGCTTCCCTTCACAAGACTGTGTAAATGTCATAGCAGTAAAAGTCTGAATTGATGGAATTAAGGAATGTAGTTTGTCAGAACATCCACCATGGAAATAGAGTAGTGATAGATTTGTAACATTTCATTAGTGAGAAAAATACTGCAGGGTTGATAATAATTGATCACCCACAAGGCTGCATAGATGCTTTTGAACTCTGCCAAGGCTGGAAAATGATGATTGGTCAACTCCAGCCCTGATATGGTGGCAATACTCCATATTGGGTCTAATCTGGCTCTTGTAAAGATAGAGCATAGCAGGTTGAGTCAGATAGTGACTGGAGCAATACCTACCAGGAACTGACCATTTTTCCATCATCTTTAGTGATAGATCATATATTTAAGATTTGTGTTAACTTGAGTCCCAGCAGATATTTAAGGAAGAGGTAGTTGTTGGAATGATCCTAGCTTGGTTTTGGCAGTATTGAATGTTACAAGCCTGTTTTCCATGAATGAGCAGTTAGAGGAAGATCAGGGGAGAGATCAGCTGCCAGACACTGATGATCGAGATTTTTGGTGGTACATCAATAAACTGTGATATCATTTGCATAGCTACTTACATTGTAATTAACAAAAATCAGTTTATGCTGTGCCATTAATGCCACTGCTCTGCTGTGATTTTATTTATTGATCTGAAAGACAGGCCATGCAAGAAAGATATGACTCTCTTCCCTTAGAAATAAAAATGTATATTAGTCATAATCCTGCCCCCACCCTCTGAGGAATTTGCTTGTTGCATCCGAGGGATCAATTTCTGCATCTCTTGCCAGTCAGCATTTACCTGATTAAAATGTTTACTGTCTCCAAATAAATCAATATTTATTGAATTCTAATCAATAATTAAAACCAAACAAAAAGTTTAAACACCTTTTCTATGCTGAACTAAAAAATAAAATAAAAGTATAAAAAATAAAATAAAAGTATAAAAAAATAAAATAAAAATATAAAAAAACAACTCCCAATCTTTACATGCAAACAGGATTAGATTAGGATGTGAGATTATTTTTAACTTTTACGCACAAGGATCTATTTGAACTGTTAGGAAAATTTGGACTTTTGTGCCCACAAAAACACTTGGAGTGTCAAAAGAATGGTTTTTCCATTGACACCACTATTATATTAACTACCTTTGCTCCTGGACAATGTTTATTGTTTTAAAAATTGATGATGAGAATTGTAATAAAACCTAAACATATGATAAAAGGGAATTTATACATTTTTTGCTAATGAGAATTTATAACAAAAATATTAAACAGTATTTATTTATTTATTAAATTTTTTATTTGCATTATTCATTATATTGTTTATTGAAATAGATGTGAGAGAGATAGAGGTGAACACACACACACATATTGATCTGTATATAAATACACTGAGTGCTCTTCATGGATCTATCTTTTTAATATTATATATTAAATAGACATACTTGGATTATCCTTATCACTTAGGATTTTATATTATTATATATATAAGTAAAAAGTGTATATAAATATAAATAAATATATATATGTATAATTATTTATATATTATATGCGTGGTACTTATTAGAAAGCGCTCAATATCAGAGATAGAGCTAACATATTTGGTTGGATAGATGTGAGTTTGTGACCCTGGGTTTCACGCTTTATTGTCTGATGATCGCTAAAGTGTGAAACCCAGGGTCACAAACTCACATCTATCCAATCAAATATATATATATATATATATATATATATATATATATATATATATATATATATATGTAAAAGGTATGCAGAAAATAGAAAAGGACACGTTAGGTGCATAATCCAGAGTTCCTTAGTATTTTTTGTTTTTATTTTTAAGAAGACAGTGCTCCATACAAAAGTAGAGCTTTATTATAATAATATTTTTGTTTAAAAATATGATTCCTTCACTACATATGAGAACTCTTATGTAGCGAAGGAATCATATTTTTAAACAAAAAATATATATATACATATATATTTTAAAAAGAGAGAAACCACAAACGTTTTTGGTTGTAATGTGGATATTTTTTGTATGCTTATATGTGTGTGTGTGTGTGTGTGTGTGTGTGTGTGTGTGTGTGTGTGTGTGTGTGCAAATATGTAGAAAATAGGAAAAAAGTTTTCAGCTCTTGTTTTTGAAACATGATGGACAAATGGACAAAGTCCGACAATTATTTTAAGACATTTTTATGTTTATACATTCTTTTTAGAGATACAAATATTTAAGTAAATGCTCTGTTTTTATAATAAACAGTATTAAACAACATTTACCGGCCTGAATGTCCAAGAAATTTTCATAGAAAATTTTCATCCTCCTACAGGAATCGAACCTGTATCCTATATGGAACCATCATATAGCCTGACGTGTCTTTAACTGTTTTGGCCACAGAGGAGTGTTCGGTTAGCAAGGTCGATTTTACTGTATTTAAACTTTAATCTTCCATGAATCTCTCATGTACATTCATATCTGCTCATGACGTATCAAATGTAAACAAATAAAATAATTGTCGGACTTTGTCCATTTCATAATGTGTGACCTCATTCAAAATATGAAGAAAAAGAGAGGCTGATATAAAGAGAGAGAAAGAGAGGCTGATATGAAGAGAGAGATAAATAGAGAGAGAGACAGACAGACAGACAGGCAAATATGAATAGAGATATAGAGAGAGACAGATATGAATAGAGAGAGGGAGACAGATATAAACAGAGAGATGAAGCTAAAACTGACCAGACTGAGATAGATGCGAACAAGGTAAGTTATGAAAATATTCAAAATAGATGAATAAACAAATAGGAAGAGAGTGAAATATCTAGATATGAAAGGATGAAACAGAGAGAGAGAGAGAAAGACAAATAGAGATAGAGACAGATATGAAAAGAGAGAGAGTGAGACAGACATGTACAGAGAGAGAGAAAGACAGGTATGAACAGAGACAGAGACATAGACAGACAGATATGGACAGAGATAGAGACAGAGAGAGACAGGTATGAACAGAGACAGATATAAACAGATAGAGATAGAGACAGATATGAATAGACAGAGAGACAGATATGAAGAGAGATAGAGAGACAGATATGAACAGAGAGAGAGAGACAGATATGAACAGAGAGAGAGAGAGAGAGTGAGACAGATATGAACAGATAGGAAGAAGGTGAAACAGATATAGATAGAGAAAGACAGGTATGAACAGAGATAGGGAGAGAGACACAGACAGATATGGACAGAGATAGAAAGAGAGTGAAACAGATATGAAAGGATTAAAAAAGATGGACATATATAAAATGATGACAAAAATGAAGAAATTGAGATTAGGCAACATTTTATATCAATAAAGCAGAAAGTTTCTTTTGTAATATGGTCATCAAAACTTTGTAGACCAAAAATCCCATTATTTACATTATTTGGACTATTGTACTCATCTTTGTTGCTATATTTATTACAACATTTCAGCCGTTGTACGCTTCGGCCTTCTTCAGGTGGTTGGAATGTCGAACTAAACCCTTTATTTCGCTCACTGGGGTTGACTGTTCTAATTCACAACATCATTAATTTTAGCTTCAAAAAATTTTTATTCATATCAATGTGTTTGTATTGAATTAGCATATGACAAAATTAAGTGCAGAAAACAATAGGGATGAGGACAATGATTTGCATGTAAATTATGTAAATAAGTGACACTTGAAGAAAAAAAATGATTGCTACAAGTGGGATTTGAAAGTTTTCTTTTCTCAGCTGTAACTGCTTCTTCGGTCAACCTTGGGAAAGCAGATTCTGTGTTTCCAGATCCACTTTCAGCATACAATTTTCTATCGAGGATCTACAAATGTGGAATCAACACTTTGAAAAAAAAAAAAAAGCATCTGAAGCAAATGATGAGGTGGATCAGTCAGTAAACATGAAGCCAAGTGTAAACACAAGACAAAAAGATAAAGAAAAAAAGAAGCAGTGTACACATCTAAGAATCAATAGAGATCTTCCTGTTGCTTTTCACATGCACAGGTCTACCAGGAACTGGGAGAGGTGCTTCGGAAGGTGTAGAAGTGAAGCTGAGAGCTGAGCTATCATTCACTTAAAATAAATGTAAAATCGAACTGATGAGTACCTGATAAGTTTGTGTGAAGTAGTGGCAACACACATACAAACACACACACACACACACACACATATATATATATATATTTGGTTGGATAGATGTGAGTTTGTGACCCTGGGTTTCATGCTTTAGCGATCGTCAGACAAACTGATTAATGTTTTAAAAAATTTGGGTTTATGTAGATAGCGTGTATTGTTGTTATCGTGGAAGTGGTGGGGGAAATTTCGTCGTTTTGTCATTCATCGTATGAACACAAACATCGATATATGCAGACACATATACATACTTAGTCGTCCGTCGGGACTCATACATATATAAACATATGTGGGCAGTTTTGGCTATGACACATGTATGTATACAGGTGGTGTTATGTCTATACATATGCATTTGTATGTTGAAATGTTGAAATTTAAACATTGGAATTGTGGCGGAAATGTCTCGTTAATGTCTCGTGAATATATATATTTTTGGTTGGATTGATGTGAGTTTGTGACCCTGGGTTTCACGCTTTTGTGATCGTCAGACAAACGAGTTTGTCTGACGATCGCAAAAAAATCAAAACTCATATCAATCCAACCAAATATGTTAGCTCTATCTCTGATATTGAACGCTTTCTAATAAGTACCGCTCATATAATATATAAATAATAATATATATAATATATTACACACACACATATATATATATATATATTTATATTCATATACACACACTTTTCACACACACACACACATATATATATAATTATTGTGTATTTTGGAAGCAATCCCTCTTTTATATGAGATTCATTAAAGAAGGTACTGTGATTAAACTTTTTATTAAATTTTTCTTGTGTTCACATAAGTATTTTATTTTCTAGATATAAAGTGTATAAAAACTGTCCAAATGTTTTATATATCCAAAAGTGCCTTCAGCTATTAGACATTATCAATTATGTTTTTTTTTAATTTTTATCTGAATACATTGATTTTTATATGTGTGAGTATCTACAAAGTCTGTCAAAAATGTATACAAACTTCAGGAAAGGAAAAACTTTTATTATACTAAATAATACTTGTGTAATACTGAATTTATTCAAACATCATGGGATTAATAGTTATCTTTGGATTCTACAATCACAAGAGATACTCAAAATTGTAGCCTTTATCTTCCAGACATTTATTATTATGGTGAACTATTGATAGGGCAATGTTAGCTAATGTATCCAGTGAGATTTCTTGTCTAAGTGCTGCTAATGTAGTCTGTTTTCTGTGATGGATAACATTCTTTCGGGTACTCCATAGATAAAAGTCTGTAGGTGTTAAATCAGAAGAAGTGGGAGGAACTTGTCTGTAGCTCTTTGTCTTAGCCAGTGTCCTTGTAAATTCTGATTCAGATAAGCTTGCACATGTTGCCAGTAGTGTGGTGGTGTGCTGTCTTGTTGAAATAAAAATTCATCATTTCCATAAAGTTCATGTATGGCAGTGTTATCGCAATTTAATAAAACTATAAAAGACAAATCTTTCCTTTTCTGAAGTGTGTATTAATCTTTTTGGTGGACTCTGTATAGTAATGGGAATGTTTTTTTTTATTATGAAAACAACCACAGCAATACCTAGCATAGTGAGGCTGTGTCTCTGGCATGGTGAAACTGTAGCACCATACGCCACAATAGAGTCTATATGTCATAACACAACACAGGTTAAATGGTAGGCTAGACCTAGTTTTCTAAAGTTTAAAACTTCTGAATTCAAAATCAGTTAGTAACTCCAGCCCCATAAAGAAGCCTACTTTCTTAAAAAAATCATTTCACCCCAAGCAAAGAGATAATGCCACTGAGATGCAAGGGGTTACTGAGGGAGAAAGAGAATGGGAAGATGTTAGTATGGAGAAAGGACAATAAAAGAACAGGTTTCAGAAAGACAAAAAATGGTGATTGCAATTAAATATTTGAAGATTGTCAGTGGCAGAGAAGCAAGAAACCAGAAAAGAGTTCCACAGGTGAGAAGTGTGAAAAAATGAAATATTAGAATAGAACCTATGGTCACATCAAACTAGTACAACAGTAAAAAGTGAGATTTTGTTGTTTGGTTTAGTTTGGCTTGTTTGTTTTATGGCATATCAACACCTCAATGGGTTATTTAATGCCAACAAAATTTTTATTGCTGGTAATATTTTTTTCCTTAAAAAATCTATTAATATTTAATGTTTTTTGATATTTAATAATTTTTTAATATTTAATAATTTTTCCTTTAAAAATCTATTAATATTTATTAAAATCTATTGCTGGTAATATTTTTTCTTCAAAAATCTATTGCTGGTAATATTTTTTCAAAAATGTATAGTTGGTAATATTTAAAAAAAAAGATATATATTGCTGGTAATAATTTATTTCTTCAAAAATTTATTGCTGGTAATAAATTTTGACAAAGTATTTCTGGTATTAAAACTGATTTTTACACTTTCATAGCATTTTGACCCCAGTTTGGTGGTTAAATATTTGCCCATAGCTAGGTCCCTAACAGGTGCTATCACCTTGGGTCAGGGTGAACCTGGGAACACCAGCAATTAAGAGGTGGTTCCATGCTCCTCAAAACCTTGGCCTTGCTGTTGAATGTAGTTTATCATCTTACCCAGAGTGCGGATGTAGTTTATCATCATACCCAGGATCTAGTTGTTTAAATTCAGGCAGTTGAGACACCAAAGAGAAAGCTCCTCAGAATATTTGCCATGAAAATATTTATAGAAATGACAGAGGAAAGTCACATTATGGTGGTGAGAATGTGATTGAAGTTGAGATGCCATACTGAAAATCTTGAAATATATATATATATATATATATATATATATATATATATATATATATATACCATGGGCACCAGATCAGCAATAGTCAATGTGTGGACAAATGGTAGATTTATAAATGTGGAAATTGGATTCTGATGAAAAAAATTGTCTGATGCAATACAGTTAACCATCTTTCTTAGACGCAGACATAACAATTGACTCAATATAATCACTCCATTTCACGTCAGTGGAAAATGTGAGCACAAGTTACAAAGAGTTTTTTCCCCTAGAGGTTAGCATAAAAAGGTTCTCTATTGTGATTAAATGATAGCAGTCCTGTTTTGAAGGCATTAAAATTTACAAGCCATTTCTTGCCCCAGTTAACCACTGATTGGAAATCATTTTTGAGAGTAGCTGCTAGTTTTGTTTTGTTGAACCCATTGGATTTATTAAGACAAGAGTAAATAGTTGTGTCATTGTTATAAAAGCCTAGTTGGCTACTGATGACATCGGGAAGGTCATTGATAAAGATAAGAAACAACGTGGGTACAAGAATAGAGCCCTGGTGGAGCACCACATTTTCATTTGACACAACCTTTATTACACGATTTGTTAACAAATATTGAATTAAGCCAAATATTCATTGTTATGAAAACCAAAACAGCATTGTCAGGTGATGGTCTATATGACACGGGGAAGTCGACAAAGTTAACATACATTGTGAAAGTAATGAGATAAGACATGACACAGACAAAGGCAAATAGTATGGTGGGACTATAGTCTTATACTCCATTCAGAAATCAATGCACTACTCTCTTTTCTTGCACTTCCCATCTGTTGAACTCCCTTCCTCTTATTTGCTTTCCTGATAACTACAATCTTCAAAACTTTAAATGCAATATCAACTGTCATCTTCTGTTTACTTGGACCCCCGTTCATCTTTTATTCTTTCCTCAATCCCCCCAATACCCAGTCTTTTCTCTCACTTTCACTCTATGTAAGCCCATATGTGAGTCATATTTCTGTCTTGCTTGGGGTGAAATGCTTAAAAAAAAAATCAAAAAAGAATTCCTTTCCCTGATGTTTTAGTCAATGCAAAAGGTCACAATTTTGTTTATTCACTGGATAAAAACTAGATAGAAAAAAGCAGAAATAGTCAAAATGTAATTATATTTATTAGGTTTAGTCACAAATAATTTTCATTTTACTTATTTACTTTATTTTACAAAATATAATTTTACAATTACATTTTATTCATTATTTACATTATTCAGACTATTGTCCTCATCTTTGTCGCCATGTTTATTACATCGTTTCGGCTGTTGTATGCTCCAGCCTTCTTCAGGTGGTTGGAATGTCGAACTGAACCCTTTATTTTGCTCACTGGGGTAGACTGTTCTAGTTCCATGTGCCATGTTTAGTCCGAATAATGTAAATAATGTACATAATACCTCATCTCA